GCTGTTTGTCAAACCTGCAGTAGAACACATTCAGGTCGTCTGCTAGTTGACAGTCTTCCTTCCAGACTTAACCTATAGAGCATCCATTAACACAGAGCATCCATAAATCCTATTATTCCAGTGAATCTGTAGTTGTATTATCACCAACGCCAATTCAAGTTCTGTGTGGGTGTAAGAGTGAAGGCAAGTCTCCAGGGTCATCAGGTGGGCGCCCTCTTGCTAAATGGTGTTTCGTTGAGTTGGGTCCATGACACTGAGAAGGCTCAACAGTGTGTTCCAGCATGCCAGAACCACCCCCCTCTTTGTCTGCACCCAACACAACCCTTAGTTATAGCCCCCAACAGACAAGACAGACAAGCCCTAGCTGAAATGCTGTACCAACCCTTCAGGTTTCCTGGATGTGTGTGGGAAGGAAGAACATTGTCCACATGCTTAGCATTTTTAAGCAGAAAGTCATGCTGTAGTCTGGAAAAAAAAATTGGCAATCCAGTAAACGCCCACCTTTGGTACACTGCACTTCACAAGACACACCTCTCATGACTCACTGTTGTTTTAAAGTTGATGCCAGGCAACAGAACAGCAAGGCTTATTATTTATGAAGCCAGTATGAGGTTCATTGACCTTATGTCTCTAGCGTATATTGTGCCCTGCCCTGCCCTGCCCTGCCCCAGAGTTTGGGTGTGTTGAATTTCCACTTTTAATCCAGGTTTTGGGACCTGTTCTATTTTTTTCTTCACTGTTTTCAGACCTTGTTTTACTGCCAATATTTCTGTGTTTGTAAAATCAGTATTTGCTAATGTGCAAAAACTATTTTCTGTATGTAGTTCTTTAAAATGTATTTACAAATTGTTAGATGCTATAGCTACCTACATAGGATGATCAGCTGATAAGTGGACCTAGCTGTACATTTCTTTGCAATTAATTGTAATGGCTGCCCCAGATGACAGCCCAAATCTTGTATTTGCTTTCCCTGTGACTCCAAGATAAGTGTGAAAAATAGTTTGACTGAAATTGTTTATTCTGAGCTCTCTCGGAGGCTAACCAATTCCCCCAACTTTTCATTTGCCCATATCTTTACAACGTGGGTAGTGATAGCAAAATTAGCACTAACTATAGAGTTCCCATACTCAATTTTAGGGGTATGTAGTGTATATTAAGGTTGTCAGCTATGTGTTAAGAGCACTGCTAGCTTAGAAACCTGCTAGCTGCCAGCCTTAGCTCAGCATAATATCCCAATAATACAAAAGTGAAAGCTAATTTTGGGAAGTGTTTAATAATCAAGTAACAAATGAACAATGGATGATGTAACAGTCAGGTATGTGTGTGTTTTGTCCTCCAGAAGCTGGACCTGGGCAGATTGCAGGAATCGTCAGCGCCATAGGAGTCGCACTGGTGGGAGCAGCATCCAGTTACTTTGCTTATCAGAAGAAGAAGCTCTGCTTCAAGCTGCAGGGGGGTCAGTGTCTTTTTTCTTTATTGATCAAAATGCAATATTTTCAGACATATTTAGACAGCAATAGAGTCCCAAATAAGAAGGAAGATTGCAGAAGATGTCAAAGATCAAACTGATAAAAATGTGCATTGTTCAGGTGCAGACCCAGAGAGTGGGAAAGGCCAGCATGGTACACACTCTGATCCTCAAGGTAAGTTTCTTTGGTTATTAAAATGAACTGAAGCATCTTCCACATACTTATTGTAATAAAATGTCATTGTTTACATTTTACAAATGGGTGACAACTGAAGGTAAAAAATCTGCATGTATAGCAGATCAGTGAATCTGTGAGTGTGTTGAACTCTGCTGGAGGGATGAACAGCATTCTTCGAAAACCTTCAAAATCCACTTACATTCCAGAATCTCCCATAGTTGTTCAGCTGGGTTGAATCCATAGAGTGATTCACATCATCAAACGCACTTAGTGATGACCCAGGGGTGCTTTCTGAACCCATTTTCAAAGTCATATATTTTCTTCCTGCCATCTTGATCTGAAGTTGAGTTCAACTGGCCTGCTAAGCTTTTTTATATGAGCATGAAAGGATGATGGTTAGTTGATTGTATTATGCATTGCATCTGTACACAAACATCTCTATTCATTATGTCATTTATTCTGGCTTATACTTAGCTCACTCTGCATTATCACCTAGATGACAAAAGGTGTGTCACTGTATTCATATCCCTTTACTACAGTAAGTAAAAGTAGTAACACCACAATATAAATATACTTTGTCAGAGTCCTACATATAAAACATTTCTTATACCAGGTAAAAGTACAAAATAATAATGATCATGATGAAAATACATAATGTCATTATTACTATTTCATGCCATTTCATTTTATTTATTTAATTTGTTTGACAGAGAGAGAGGTCATTAATCAGCAGAAAACCAAACGAGCCAACAAGGCTAATTTCTATCTGTCATTCCAGGCCAGATATTAAAAGGCAATGAAACAAAACAAGATAACATTAAATAGCATAACATCATAATCAACAAAATCAAAGCCAATATTATAATAAAAAGAGTAATTGGCAAAAATCTAAACTATATATGACACAACTTAGATTATACATAAGAAAATGAAACTACAAATATCAGTTAAGGCAGCAGGCAAAGGCAGGTAGTTAAATAATGTTCAAGTCTGATTGTTAAGCCGTACTTTTATTTGATTAGTGCAATAAGTATTGATTTATTTGATATGCACTAATGACAAAGTCCAAGGTACTGTAATAGAGAATGGTGACTGACTGCTGCTCCGGGATATGCAATTGTCCTAATTTTCCTGCCATCAATATGCGTCAAAAGCATGAAATATTGAAGTACTCACCCATTTCAGTAGTCCCGCACTGAATTCACACTGCTCCCAGTGTATGTTATGGGAGTCATGTGATGCATGTCACATGACGAACTGCGACAAGACATTGCCGGTATGCTGTGCCCTTTACTAGTAAAACACAGTGGAAGTGAGATGTAAGCGCCATGTTCTGTGTGTTTAAAGTCATCAGAACAGCCTATTCCAGGCCAACCAACAATAGAAATGGACAAAAATGTACAAACAATGTACTGGACAAAAATAGTTTTTATGTCAGATCATCGGGAAGAAATCACATTTTTATGTAGCCTATCGTTTTATTGATTTTCCCCGGCTCGTTACAGAGGGAGAAACCAAAACTCGAGCAGCCTATCAGTTGTAACAGATAGCAGTCGAAACAGAAAACAACAGGATTTGTGTGATTTGAACAGCTGACTGTGGACATTGCGCTTCACTAAACATAGCAGAAGAGAAAAAATATAGACACGAAGCATAAAAAAACATGAGGGTTCAACAGGAGATGAGCATCTCACGGATTCACTGTGGACTGACTCACTTAATATGATGGAATTCTATCTGCAGCGTGAGATGTGCGTAGAAAATGCTTCCAGTGTGGATTAGAGGTTATGGTTTGTCTGTTAATATGAGTAGTGGTTCTTTATGTGATAAAAGATTGAAGTGGAGGTGGAGATGTTAGAGATTAAAACACCTTAAAATTTTTCCAGCCTCAAGAATTTTACATTTTGACAGATATGAAAACCATACAGTACTGTTTGGTTTGTGGTCAAGGACTTTGAGTATGTTTATCTAAGTGGTTTCAGTGTACTTTTGTTAGATAATATGGAATGATCATTGCATTTAAATGTAGTATAGCTGCAGTAATCATCATTGAATTTTTAAACAAAATCTCAAATTTGTTACCTGCAGTTTGTGTTATATTTAATTTTACCCATGATTGTTTTAGCCACAGATACATAGCGTCAACAATATTCTGTTATAGCTACAGGAGGTGAAGTTGATTTCAGTTGCTTTATATGCTATTGGGGGGTTTATTCCATAAAAGTGCATAATTTTAAGAGTTATATATGTTGCGTATAAAATTTTAATTGGCAGAGCAGAGTATCTACATCTAAAAAATACATTTTTCCATGTGAAATGTAGTGGGAGTGCAAGTATAAAGCATTAAAAGGAAATTTGTTGAAATACTTAAGAGTAAGTAAACAAATGTTCAAAATGGTATGAAAAATAGAACTGAAATAGTATTTTTTGTCAGAATCATCTATATATCCCCACTTTAACTCAGTTTGAGAGAGCATAGTATCCATGTGGTGCTAAATCCAGAACAAGAGCTGCCTACTGGACCAAGCCAAACCAAAATCTATGTTTAGCCTGACACCTTGTGTTGAACAGCAGGTACTGAACTTGGCCATCTTTGGGCCTTGTTTTCCTTTCAGACTCTTTGCATGTTGTTCTGGGGTAATCTGGACTGTATATGTTGTTTAGTACATTACTGTTTGTGGTCACTGGGGTGCGCCGTTCACACAAGATCTTTCCCTTTTCTCTTTGCTTTATTGCCTATTATCCACAGAGTTGGGGGTGAAGATACAGTATGTATATATGTGTGGTTCTAAAACAGAAAATGATACAACAAACAATTATCAGCTGTACACATGCTGGATATACACATCTAGTAAATATAAATGAGTAGGCCTTACTACACTGACTTACAGTATGTACACAGCATACAGCATATGTAGCTAACATCAACTAGCATAACTTAACATTATATTAACATTTAGACAGTGATATCCACTGTGCTAAGCATGAACAAATAATCTTCTTAAACTACAGTGCTTCCAAGTTTCACTAACAGAAATACTTAAGGTAGTATCTCAATAAAAAACTACTATATTCTGCCGTTACAAAAACAATGATCTAATAAGTCAAAATGGTGGCATCGTATGGCTTAAACAAACTTTAATATAAACTTTAGATATATGTGGCTCTGACAGTGTTAGCTCTACTTACTGGTAGGTACCACACACACAGTGTTAAACAAAGCAGAAACACAAAACAGGTTTGGAACTGCCTGCACAATCAGGAAGCTCCACCTACCTCCTAACTGACTAATAAAGCAATAACAAATTGTAACTGTCCTTTGCCTCACATTCATTGTTTTGTTCCTTTAAATTCCAGTTCTCAGCAACCTGCTCAGGACAAACTAGATGCCCTCTTTTCATGCACAAGACAAGCACAGGAATTTTAATACAACACAGAATGTCATTCAACTTTCAGTCAGCTCTCTTTGGTCCAGAAGATGAGATGGGTTATTCTACAACCTGATTAGTTTAAACCTTAAATACAACTACAGGGTTTGCATTTATGTGCTTTGTGTGTAACTACTGTACACATGAATATGGTGTTTTGTTTTGTTTTCCTTTCTGTCAGATCTGACACTATTGTGATACTATAGTGTGTTACGTTTTACATACATGGGCGGGGTTTAGTGTGACCTTCTAGCAGACCCCCCCCCCTAAAACCGACATCTAAGAAGGATTGAACATACCTTTCATTGTTTTTCAACTCAGTGTTGATGTAGAATACTTTATTTTGCACCTTAAATCTTAAAAGTTTGGTTCACCCAAATTACATAAGTAATAACCATTAAATGCTGGTTCTAATTACATCAGTGCAACAAAGTGATGTCACACATACCGCTCTACTGCTTGCACTTTTCATCACAAATGTGTTCATTCACTCATTAATGCCAACAACGTCTACTTTACTGTTTCTTTTTTAATTGCTGTCAAATCAACTAACACCTCCTTCAGTTTAAATCCTGCCAAGGAACAGGTGGGCTTTAATATGAAATACATGTTTCATGAAGTGTTGAGTTTCATTGACAGTACAGCAGTTAAATAAAACGGCAAAAATGAATGAAAATGTTAAAAGAGAGAGCGGCAAGGTGGTGAGTATGATGTGACTGTTGTACTCATGGAATTAGGGCTATGGGAATGGACATGATGCTCAATTTATCACCAAAACCTGTAAAGGAGGAAATGTCAAGTTTACATCACTGGGAAATTCATTACTAAAACTGGGGAAATTACAACTGTAGAAATTTTAGTGCTTCAAATAAAGGTAAATTCTTTCTGCACTATGAGAGATTATAGAAATTACACATCAATAGCATAACACAAAAGTGTCTGTCTTTGCTGTAATTGACCTATTTCACAATGATGTCAGATAGTAAAGTGGCTAGTTGATAACCATAACGTTAATACAGCGTATTAAAAGATCTTAATCTCATTGATATTTCCTGAATGAATAACTATAGTTGAATTATCTAACCAAGTACATTAGCGGCTGTTAAGCTTTAATGGCCGTTTTTGGCAGATACAGTAACTTAATGTGTGGGTATGCTAACATTACAGTTGTCAATTGAATACCACATCAGATACATCCCATATTAAAACATCTTAACAGTTATGCTCTTAGAAAATGTAGCATTATCAGTCACAACATTACTAAAATAATATTAAATACAATCTGTACATCCTACTCTGTCTTACTGCTGTCATTTTGCCAACAAGCCACCTAAAAGATCCCAGAATGCAACACACTGTTTACTCTCTGATGTCATTATGAAATAGAATAGTTTAATCCAGCAGAAGGAGTTTTTAATCTAAAATGTCGTGAGCATGTGGAGGTTAAGAAACACAAGATTGCGCAGTATATTACATGTAAACGCAACATACCCTATAAGCAGGAGCTTTTTTCTTGTTTCAGTAATATCAGTTCATAGTCTTCTTCTCTCAAAGCTGCACTAATTAATATTTTTATATTAAGAGATTGAATGACTATGTTAAAGGTGTTGCTTGTAGTATTAAACCCACTATTAGTTCAGCATTTTGTTTTCCAGCCCATTATCAAAACTAGCAACTACACTAGTTGTTGAACATAGCGGAGTATTTAGCAGCTGAAGAATGAAATATTTTTCTCAGGTGTTGGTAGGGAAAATGGTTTTATTACTCACCATCTCTTTTTGTTTGCCATTGCATGAAACACTGTCAACCTCAATTCAGACTGCTTTGTGTTATCCAAGTTGATTCACACAGGCTTGCCCATTTATCATCGGTCTATCCAAGTCACAACTGAGCACATCAGGTATCATAAAATTAGAACTATTGCATCAGGAGATTAATGTTACAGAATTGTTATCGTATATCAAAATGACTTGCTTTGAGCTTTTCAATATCAACAATCAGGATCTCTGTTTTGAATGTAATTTGTATTCAAACCTGTCTGTTTTACAAGCATAAGCCTTATCCGTGTATATTAAATCTGATAATTAGATGAATGTTCTTTTATGAGTGGATTTAAAGTGTATGTACGTTTTGAATAAAGTGCTATTGTACAGTTTATGAATGTTTTGTCATTTTGCCATCACCTGCTTTATTAATTACTAATCCTTGTTTAAAATATGTAGCTTTGACAATGTGATGACAGATTGCATCATGTGTTAATATTCTAGGTTTTTCTTACCAAGTACAAGCCTAGAGTATATTTGTTTTTTAAATGGTATTAAACAAGATATGATTGTATCAAACATGATCACAAATGTATCATGTATCTTTTATTACTGTATATGAAGAGAATCAGATAACTGTCTATTTTAGATTTTACATTAGTGGCATATCATGGCATTCAAAACCAGCGTTATATTTTGTGATAACAGCTATTATAATAATAATGGAAAACTGCTGTTTTTGGCTAATTATTTGTGCGGTATAATGTGCATTTTACTCTCAGGTTGTCAGTACACTAAGTTATGGAAGTTAGAATAAAAATTTTATTATTTGGGATGTATACATCTTACACATTGAAATATAAAAACAATTAAAGCAGCTCTAACTTACTTTTGCCCTCTATCGTTTGACTGTTAAGGGTGAAGTGAGTCAAAACGAACTCAAGTGATATCCCCTTCTCTTCTTCCTCCGCTCCTCTTTGCCCCTCCTGCCCTGTTTGTGAAACAATGTCATATATGGCCATGACATCCGGAGACAATTGTAACAACAACAATTGTAAGCAAATTATAAAGAAGAATGCTTTTTCCCAGTAATAGTGATACAGTACAGTACTAATGTTCTGGCCATTATCGCATTGCGTTCAATGCTATATGCTTAACACACATAATAATAATAATAATAATAATAGAAAGAAAGTCACTTTCGGCTTTTCCCATCTAGGGGTCGCCACAGCGAATAGTCACACTGACGACTCGCATGTTGACATTTGGCACGTGTTTTACGCCGGATGCCCTTCCTGACGCAACCCTGACTTGAACTAGGGCCGCAGCGGCGAGAGCGCTGCGCCTTAACCACTAGCCTACCACCTTTATTTGGCCAAGTATGTTACTCACACAAGGAATTTGTTTCTGGTACAGAACAGTACATAATGTTATAAGGTAACCATGAGTTATATTTTAACAACTTCAGACTAAAATACTCCATGGGCTGCTTTGTTATATCTGACAACCGTGTGACCAAAACTGAGCAAAAATTAGCAAACTGAGCAAAATTACTTCATTCGCTAATCCAGGAAAACATGCTGGTTTCCCCTAATTGAACCACAAAACAGTAATGTTGCAGTCAGGTGAAAAGACTCCAAATTACAACCAGAGTAATTCAATACAAAGGTACAAAATTGAAATGCTAACATTAGCTTGCTAATGTCGCTGACATGAACACTTTAGCTAGCTATTTGCATGTCCAGAAGAGGGAAAGCCACATCTGTGTCAAATTTTAGTCCTTTGGATGATTTTAGTGCTCTCCATCTCCAAAATGCCAAATCGATGTTAATCCTGGTTTTAGCTCATTCTCTGTTGCACTGTTTCTGTGCTACAGAAAGCGGGCTCTTGGGCCTAACAGGTCTGCTCCCACCCTAGGTTGTACCTGCACAGAGCGCCTCCATGATCTGTCTGTGAAATGAGCTATACTGGTTTGACAAACACCTTATTATTTGACATTATTTTACTTGATTCATCTGAATTTGGGCTAAATCTTAGTTAATGCAACTTTAATTATTCAGCCCCAGTTTGTGAGGCATTCTGTATGGACTATTTTTGTGAGTGTGTGTATATGCTATGTTCTTGCTGTTTGCTTGTGCTATATCATGTTGTGAAAATATGCAAAAACCTCCACCTCCATGACAACCGAGCAAAAGGCCATTTGCTGAAGAGGACCAATGCAATACATTTGAAAACTTTGGAAAAAGCTACTGAGTTGTAATTGTTTTGTGAAAGTAAAGTAGCCTCTTGGCAGGTAATGAGATGGATTAAATTTGAGTTCAGTGTCTATATAAGTGTCTGTGGAATGATTATTTCCTGCAACACTGACACATGTAAAGTGAAAGTGAACTGGGGCAGCTATGAAGGTCAAGCCACTTACACAATACTTGGCACAACTCACTTTCTGCTAGTTGAATGACCAGCTGAGCAAACAGAGGAGCAGATACAGCACTTGACTGTCCCGTTAAAAACAGTATGAGATGTGACTTCATGGAGCAGCGTCATACATTAATTCATCCTCTCAGTATTTAGAAAAGGTTCCAGTTTTAGGTTCTATCAGATGGTGCAAAGATCTGACTGCCATCCGGACCCTCATGATTCACTATTTCTACAAAGCCTTTTGTAAAGTTGAGCTCATTCCTGATCGTCTGTATAGATAAGTAAAGTTACTGCATTTTCAGAAGATTGAAGACATCAAAAATGTCAGGTAGGTGATTTCATATAAACTATCTTACAAACCCCAACTCCAATGAAGTTGGGATATTGTGTAAAAACAGTACATTGACTTGCAAATTCTTTTTGACCTATATTTAATTGAATACACCACAAGGACAAGGTATTTAATGTTCAAACTGATAAACTTTGTTTTTTGCAATTGTTCACTCATTTTGAATTTGAAGGCAGCTATCGAAGCATCATTCCGGGTAAGTCACTTCATTGTTAAGCACAAGAAGTCCTTCCAAGACAGAGAGATGGTAAAAGAGGCATTCATTGAAGCAGTTGAATCGTTGTTCTGAGACTTTAAAAACAAACCAGAAATATTATCTTCAATCAAAGCTCTCTAGCTATAAGGAAGTACAGTTACACGGTGCAGTGAAGCCATGGCCACGGATTTGACCCAGCAACTTTGGAAGGATATCGCGAACTGTAACAACAGGGGGGTTGTTACTGACTTTGTGGAGTGGTGTGAGAAAAATCACCTGGTCCTGAACACCAGCAAGACAAAAGAGATGGTGATTGGCCCCCGGCGGAAATCACCAGCACTCACGCCTGTGAGCTTGCAGGGCTCAGATATTGAGATTGTGGACACCTTTAAATACCTGGGTGTCCAACTCAACAATAAACTGGATTGGACCAAGAACACAGATTCCCTGTACAGGAAGGGCCAGAGCCTCCTCCACTTGTTGAGGAGACTGAGGTCCTTTGGTGTGCGTGGGGCACTCCTTCAGACATTTTATGATTCTGTGGTGGCATCTGCAGTTTTTTACGCTGTTATGGGTTGGGCAGGAAGTAGCACAGTCAGGGACAGAAAGAGACTCAACAAGCTGGTTGAGAGCTGGTCCTGTCCTGGACTGCTCTCTGGATTCCATCAAGGAGGTGGCAGACAGAAGGATGCTGGTAAAACTAATATCCATCATGCATAACCCCTCCAATCCCCTGCACCAGACAGTGGTGGCTCTGAACAGTTCTTTTAGCATGAGACTGTTACATCCCCATTGTAAGAAGGAGCGTTATGATAGGCCATTACTCCCCACAGCAATCAGACTGTACAACACATCACTGCAGTGATAAGCTAGGTGAAATTATGAGGGACTACGCAATATTCTACTGTGGTGCAATATTTCAGCTCCTGGGTGTGAAATGCATTGTAAATAGGCTCGTGTAATATCTTGTTCCTGATCTCTCTCAAATACTGTACATTGCCCTGCTTTAGGTATTTTTGAGTAGTTGCTCAGAGATCCTTATGGCTGAAACACAGGTTTCTTTCCCCCATTGTGGGATCAGTTGTGTGAGTAATATTCGATTGTTCTTGATTTCCTGGTTGTTTAGTCTCTACTGCTGTTCCTGATTCTCTCCAGTGCTGCTTTGCCCTGTTTTTAGGTGCCTTTGATTTGCTTATTTGTGCTGTGTAAAATGTAACGTTCTGATGACGCTACTTTTATAATCCTTGTGTGTATCGGTTCTAATGCCTTGTTGCCTTTATGTAACTTTTTATTTTAAGACTCAGTGTTCTTTGTTCATACGTACTTACGTATGCATGCGCCGCGCAAGTTACAGCAGCTGTGTCCTCGTTGTGTTCTTTCCCGTGTTTCTATGAAGTTCTGTTCTTATGTGTCTGTTCTTATGGTGGTGTCTGTTCTTATGGTGTTATGTTGGTTGTTCTCTATTGCTGCTGTAACACAGAAATTTCCCCACTGTGGGATCAATAAAGTACCTACCTACCTTTCTCACTGCAATTGGATGAATCTACAGACGTGAGTGAATGAATGAATGACACTTTATTACAGACTCAAGGTCCAGGTTCAGAAACAAATAAAAGCAATAAAAGAACAGTTTAAAACGAAACAATAAAAACAGAAAAATACATAAAAAAACGAGGACAAAAGAACACCCATAAAACTACTGTCCCTTTAAAATGCAGGCATACCAGTGTTTCCAGAGGGCAGAAGTAAAATGCATGTCACTGTGTGCAACATTAGTCAACAATAAAATGAATTTAAAAAATAAATACATTTTTTGAACCATTCAAACAACAAATAAATTTAAAGGTTTCTTAAAACAGCAGAAAATGTACTAATTTGAGATGACACGAACAATTCGCTAGCACTCATTCATCTAGGCTTTTTCAATAATATCTTTAGTGTGTCATTGTAAGCCATTGACAGTTTCCGAAGACTGCCCTTTTTATAATTACACCACAGATGGGCAGTGTACAAGGAAGCACAATAAGCTTTAAACAAAGCCAATTTTACTCCCACTGAGCATGCACCAAATTTGCATGCCAGTATACAGTATTAGCTTGTACGTACAACATGCGGCACTGTCGATATATATCCCTGTCATCAGACAAACAATCATTAATGACATGACCCAAATACTTAACTTCATTGCACACAGTTAAAATATTATCAGATAACTTAAAAGAAGGAAATGCAAGGGACCTGTCCTTGTTTGTACTGCATATCATAATGACACTTTTAACAGCATTGTACTTGACCGTGATGTTACCCAAACACTGAGCACATGTTCAAAAGCTGCTGAAGACCTGTTGAGCTGGGACTAAAAATCACAAGGTCGTCTGCATACATTAAATGATTCACAACTTTGTCACCGTCCATACATCTCATTCTGCACATATTTAATTCTTTAGACAGATCATTCATGTAAAAATTAAACAAAATTGGGGAAAGCAGACTACCATGTCTTACGCCGTTACCGGGCTGAAAAGGTGCAGATATAAAATTATCCCATCTAACAGACATAGTCTGGTTGGCATACTGTGGAATATTGAGCTGTTTGGGTTAATATGTAACTGAGGTATTAG